CTTCAGACCAACATCGGGACCCCCCTGAACCTATGCAAAACTGAATGATCCAAGAAGACATTTCTGCGCAGGCAATAGGGTTGTTGTTGTTCAGTCGCACAGTCGAGTCTGACTCTCCGCGACCCCATGGACCACATCACGCCAGGCCCTCCTGTCTTCCACCGTCCTCTGAAGTTTGCTCAACTTCATGTTCGTTGCACCGATGACACTGTCTAACCATCTCATCCTTTGCCGTCCCCGTCTTCTTTGGCCTTCAATCTTTCCCAGCATCAGGGTCTTCTTCTCCAGTGAGGGCTCCCTTCTCATTGGGTGGCCAAAGTCTTTGAGCTTCAGTTTCATTATCTGGCCTTCCAGGGAACAGTCAGGGTGGATTTCTTTTAGGATTGACTGATTTGATCTTCTTGCAGTCCAAGGGACTCTCAAGAGTCTTCTCCAGCACCCTAGTTCAAAAGAATCTATTCTTCGGCGCTCGGCCTTCCTTATAGTCCAACTCTCGCAGCCATACATGACTACTGGGAATACCATTGCTTTGACCATGCGGACTTTTGTTGGCAGGGTGATGTCTCTACTTTTTATCATGCTGTTTAGGTTCGCCATCGCTTTCCTCCCAAGGAGCAGGCGTCTTTTAATTTCATGGCTGCAGTCACAGTCTGCGGTGATCTGGGATCCCAGGAACGTGAAGTCTGTCACTACTTCCACGACTTCCCCTTCTATTTGCCAAGGAGTGATGGGGCCGGATGCCATGATCTTAGTTTTTTGATGTTGAGCTTCAAGCCCACTTTTGCACTCTTCAAAGCTACTGATCTCTGTAGGCTGGAGATGAGCTGCAATTCCAGGGGATCTCCAGGTCCCACCTGGAGGCTGGCATCCCAAGATTACAAAAAGCACTACACCGGAATCCTTGATACCAGCGTGCCAGCTGGGGTGAGCTGTAGATTGTGGCAGCTGTTCCTGGATTATCCTTCAAAAGGCTTAAAGGCCCCAGTCTTCTTAGTTCGGCCAATCCTTCCCATTCTGCCTTTCACTAATTTCGAAATCCTTGACTAGTGGTGAGTGCCAAGTCAACACACCCGCCCGTCCCTGCCCTCGCATGCAACCTGTTTGCAACCTGTTTGCAAACAGACTCGCCTAATAAGCTCCCCAGGGGCCATAAATGAGAGAACTCTCCCTATTGAAAGAGGCCTTTAATTTGCTTTCTTGCTTTCCGAGGGTGAATTATGAGGCCGGCAGGGAAAACAAAAACAGAATCCGGGCAGCGGGCAAAACAGGTCCCCCTCTCCGGGAGGCAGTTCTGTACTCCCCCCCCTCCCCCCAGTCCCTGGAAGGAGACTGCAAATCCCGGATTTGTCGGAGATGAAAGGGCTGTCATCTCGGGTTTCAAGCACCTATGTCAAAACAGGAAGGCTCTACGGCTTAAGGAGACCTCCCAAAAGCTGCAGCTTTGGAAAACATTCAGAGGCAGAAGATTTCCCCCCCTAAAAAAAGAAGAACCTCTAAGCAGTGTTCCCTCTAAGCTGAGTTAGTGTGAGCTAGCTCACAGCCTGGCTCACATAGTCTTGTCTTAGCTCAGGAAGGAGGGCTCCAGAGCAAACTAATATATGCAGTAGCTAAATCGCTCGCTCACAACTTTAATGCCAGTAGTTCACAAAGTAGAATTTTTGCTCACAAGACTCCTCAGCTGAGAGAGAGCACTGCCTATAAGATCATTCCTCTTTTTGGAGACTGTCCTGTTTTTAGGCACTGGAGCCCGCTCTGTACTGCTAATCAACTCTGCAGGCCATTCCCCCCCACACACACACACACACTTCCTCCTAAGGAGCTCTGGGCCTGTAGTGGTCAGGAGTGTGGACTCTAATCTGGGAAAATTATTTGGCAGAGAATTCGACACTTTAATGATGGTCTGGGCCTGGCTGGGGCGATGGCACGCGTGCCCACAGAGAGGGCTCCGAGTGCCACCTCTGGCACCCGTGCCGTAGGTTCGCCACCACTGTCCTAGGCCAACATGACTGCTACGCAGGGTTCTCAGCTCCAGGTTGGGAAATTCCTGGGAAGTCTGGCGAGGACAGTTTGAGGAAGGGAAGGACCTTAGCAGAGAAGGACGCCACGGAGTCCACCCCTCCAAAGCATCCATTTCCCCCCCCCAGGGGAACTGGTGCCTGGAGACCAGTATTGTTTAATGTGCCAGAACTCCAGCCACAACTTGGAGGTCAGTCCAACCCTACCTGACAGGGCTGTTGTGAGGAGAAAATGGAAGGGAACAACGTAAGCCACTTGGGAGAGAGAGAGGTGGGGTATAAACGAAGTAATTAAATGTATTATTTTCCCCCGAAAGGGAAATCTCCCAAGGATTAGCATACAGGGTGGAATGAGACAATATTAACAATCGTAAATAACATTATTTATTCCTTAATGGCAGAAGTACATCTCTACTAGGAGGGCAGAGAAGCCAGCCTGGCATAATGGTTAAAATGTTGGACTAGGAGTTAGGAGACCTAGGTTCGAATCCCCACTCGTGCCATGGAGGTTTGCTGGGTGACCTTGGGACAGCCACACCACTCTCTGTCTAACCCACTTCACGGAAGAAGAAGAAGAAGAAACCTGGTGGAATTCTCCTACCTGGTGGAACGAGCTGCCGGTGGAGATCCGGGCCCTGCGGGACCTTGTACAGTTCCGCAGGGCCTGCAAGATGGAGCTCTTCCGCCAGGCTTTCGAGTAGGAGCCGCCGCCGCCACTATACCACCATCGTGACTTGACTTATCATCTACCCTGTTTCTGGGAGGGGGTAGATGTTGCCCGGATGAGGAACATCACCCCTGGCGCTCACGCTATTACAACATCGGCCGCCAATGAGGGACGTCATGCATCTTGGAAATTTAATGATTTGTAGAGCACCATTTTAGCTTGTATGTATTAATGTTTTAATGTAATCTATATTTTATTCCGGCGTTGCCGCTTGTTCGCCGCCCTGGGCCGCTTGGGTAGGGCGGGATATAAATCCCAAGTAAATAAATTTAAAAAAGAAGAAGAAGGAGAAGGAGGGTGGTAAACAGTGGGGTACCGCAAGGATCAGTACTCGGTCCAATGCTTTTTAACTTGTTCATTAATGATTTGGAGTTGGGAGTAAGCAGTGAAGTGGCTAAATTTGCTAATGATACAAAGTTGTTCATGGTGGTGCAAACCAGGGAGGATTGTAAGGCACTCCAAAGGGATCTGTCGAGGATGGGCGAGTGGGCATCAGCGTGGCAAATGGGGTTCAATGTGGCCAAGTGCAAGGTGATGCACATTGGAGCCAAGGAGAAGGAGGAGGAGAAGGAGAAGAGGAGGAGGGGGAGGAGGAGGAGGAGGAGGAGACTGGATTTATACCCCGCCCTTCACTTGGAGTCTCAGAGCAGCTTACAAACTCCTTTCCCTTCCCCTCCCCACAACAGACACCCTGTGAGGTAGGTGGGGCTGAGAGAGAGCTCTGACAGAAATGGCTCTTTTTCAAGGACAGCTGTGCCAGAACTATGGCTTGCCCAAGGTCATCCAGCAGCTGCGAGTGGAGGAGTGGGGAATCAAACTCGGTTCTCCCAGGTTAAAGTCATGCACTTAACCACTGCACCAAACTGGCTCACAGGATTGTTGTGATGGTACAATGCAGGGAAGAAGAACGGTGTAAGTCGCTTTGGGTCCCACTGGGGAGGAAAAGGCAAGACGTAAATCAAATCAAATAAAGAGGAGCTCGATTGTTTGTTCTTATTGGTTGCTTACTGAGATGCTGGCTTTTGAAGGATCGGAAAATGAACCAAAGGTTTTTCGAAAAATCAGGCCTTTGCAAAAAGAGACGCTGAGCGCTAAAAAAGAAAAACAGAAGTCTTGGGGGCACCTTAGAAACTACATTTTATTCCAGCAAAAGGGACCATAGACTGCATTCCACTTTGGCAGGTGCAACTGATGAAGTGAGCACGGATCCACCAAAGCTGTGGCTGAAATACACACACCTACCTAGTCTTTTAAGGCACCGCAAGGACGCCAGCTTATTTGTGCTGCAGTGGTTTAACACGCCTGAGAACAGATGGAAGGAGCTTTGGAGCGAGGCGGGGCATCCTTGGCCCAGAGGGGAGATTGCGGCCTTTAATCTCCTCCTCTCACCGATAAGCGTTGAAATGCAAAAGAAGGCAGAGTTTTGATAAAGGGGCACGGCAGGGCCCCCCCCCCCGCCCTGTCTGCCAGAGTGTCAAAAGTGGCACCGAGATAAAAGGATTCCCTGCTGGCCGGGCAGGAGGCCTTGGCCAGATCGCTCGCGATTAGAAGGGGAAGGAAGGCTGGGAGAGCCCCAGAAACTATTTATGGGGACCCAATTCTGACACTACAGCCGGAAGATGATCAAAGCCAGGGAGACGGAGCCAGGAATGCTGGATCCAAGGCCGGGGGAGGACTACGGCACTGAAGAGATCCCCGCTGGGCTTCCATGGAAAGCCCTAGAGCCATAAGGGGTCTTAGAGACCATCTAGCCCAACCCCCTGCTCCATGTCGGAAAGCCAGACCTACAAATTCCCCAGCAGAAGGCTGTCCAGTCTCTGCATGAAGACCTCCAGTGAGAATTCACACACACACACTCCCCACCCCCAGTAACTGGCTCCATGATCAAACTGTTCTCGCTCATAGGAATTTCTCCTAGATGTCCCCTTCACAGGGGGAAAGAGCTCCGTTGGGGAGGGGCTGTGGCTCAGCGGAAGGGCACCTGCTCAGAACATACGCATTTCACTGTTAAACTTCTTCAGGGGATCTTCTACAAGGCAGAATTTGAAAAACCCTAGGGATCTATAATAAACCCTAGGGATCTATGCTGCTGTTGTTGTTCAGTCGCTTTTTGGGAAAGCTTCACGGATCCCCCCCCCCGCCTACTGGGTGCGGCCATTTGTTTCTCCAGCATTAATGTATTTGACCCACAGAGCTCCCAGTGGGAGATCCGTGGAGCTTTCCCACCCCCTGAGTGACTTGGAGGAGACACGAATTACCTTGTGCCACAGGATCCCCTGGGGCTTTGGGCGCATGCAGCCAGTCCGGACCACTCTTGTCGGGGTGAGGATGTAGTCCACGGTCAGGTCGTGTTCACCCAGTAGCTCTTCTGGTATGTCCACTACCTACCCCGAGGAGCAAAAGAGAGACCAAGCTTACTGGAACAAATGCAAAAAAACCATACTTTCACTTTTTTAAAAAACAAAACAAAAACAAGATTTCCAGCCAGAAATGGCAAATATCACACTGCAAACAATGCATAATAAGTGAGTTCTAAACCAAATCAGGAGCTGCGGTGGCTCAAGTGGTTCAGACCCTGCAGGCTGTGGAAGGTCAGTAGTTCAGCAGTTCGAAACCCGGGTGCCGCATGACGGAGGGAGCTCCCGTCTCTCGTTCCAGCTCCTGCCAACCTAGCAGTTCGAAAGTAAGAAATTGCAAGTAGATAAACAGGTACCACTTTGGTGGGAAGGTCACAGCGTTCTGTGCGCCTTGGTGTTTAGTCATGCCGGCCACATGACCACGGAAACGTCTTCGGACAGCGCTGGCTCTTCGGCTTTGAAACGGAGATGAGCACCGCAACCCTAGAGTCCGACTCGACTGGCTTTCGAGCAAGGGAACCTTTACCTTAAACCAAATCAAGCCTGATCTCTCCCTAGAAGCTAAAATAGCTCAACTGAGGCTATCGGACTTTGATCACATTATGAAAAGACAAAGAGTCGCTGAAAAAGACAATAATGCTAGGAAAAGTTAAAAGGCAGCAGGAAAAGAGGAAGACCCAACATGAGATGGATTGCCTGTATAATGGAAGCCAAGGCCCTTGGTTTGCAAGACCTGAGCAAGGTTGTCAATGAGAGGACGTTTTGGAGGCTATTAATTCATAGGGTCAGGAGCTGCGGTGGCTCAAGTTAAGATGCTGAACTGCAGACTGGAAGGTCGGTAGTTCAGCAGTTCGAGACCCGAGTGTGCCACGTAACGGAGTGAGCTCCCGTCTCTCGTTCCAGCTCCTGCCAACCTAGCAGTTCGAAAGCAAGAAATTGCAAGTAGATAAATAGGTACCACTTCGGTGGGAAGGTCACAGCGTTCTGTGCGCCTTGGTGTTTAGTCATGCCGACCACATGACCACGGAAACATCTTCGGACAGCGCTGGCTCGTCGGCTTGGAAACGGAGATGAGCACCGCAACCCTAGAGTCGGATTCGACTGGCTTTCGAGCAAGGGAAACCTTTACCTTAATTCATAGGGTCGCCCTATGTCAGAAGCAACTCGACGGCTCTTAACACAAACACAAAACAATGCGTTGGATCCTGTCCCCCTGGTCCACTAGCGGAGGAGCGCTTTCCTTCGGGAGGAGCCCACCTGTCAGAAAAGACCCTGGAGTCACTCTCAGAGCTCTGAGATGGAAAACCTTCCTTGTTCCAGAGGCTGGCTTGCGGTTCTCTTTGGCCCCTATTAGTTTTCCCGCTTCCAGACATTTTGGTTTTCAAAGCAGCTGCTGAAAGCAACGTTTTCAGGCAGTGGGAGGGGAGGGGAGGCGAGGCACGGCCACCCCACCCATGATTTCCAAACAAGAGCAGGATTAAAAAAAAAATACACAGGGCCTTCTGTGGGTGCCAACCTGCAAACGGGCAAAACCAGCCACTTCCCTGTACAGTTGGGAGCCGCCACCACCAATGAAGAAACATCGGTCGGTAAAAGGGAGAGGGCCCTGGACCCTGAAAACTGCCATCAACAGCCTTAAAGAATACCGAATCCTGCAGGGACATCCGATTAACACCGAGAGCTGACTGCGATCAGAGAATGTTCGACACTGGCCGCTGCCGCTATATGACTATTAAGAACCACGAGCATAAGAATGTAAGAACATAAGAGGAGCCAATGTTGGATCAGGCCAAAGGCCCATCCAGTCCAACACTCTGTATCACACAGTGGCCAGAAATACCAGGTGCCACCAGGAGGTCCACCAGTGGGGCCAGGACATTAGAAGCCCTCCCGCTGTTGGGCATTATTTTTGCGGACACGTGCGTTGTGTATGAGTTTCCCTGTACGTAAGAAACCAACGGCAACTCACCAAACCTAA